TCACCAACCCCAATGGGGTCGAGTCAATTTGCAGCTATCCGAAGACCTGCCTCACGAAATGCATATAAACAAGCTCCTACCAGGCCATCTTCTACCAGGCCAAATGTCGAATCAGCTCGACACTTTTCGCTCAACGACAGCTCCGACGACGAAATTCCAATGCCGATGAAATTGAGTGCCCTAACAAAAGCTTTACTAGATGATGAGGCCTCAGTTGTTGAAACCCCAATCGCTGCTCGTACGACACCAGAAGCCCCTAAAACATCACACACAAGAGTGGAAAGTGCGGGTGCATTGGGATCATCCACCAGGGGGAAGCAATCGCCGCTGGGGAGCCGTGAAAATAGCCCTACCTATCCGCGACGAATTGTGCGAGTGAGTGGTACGCCTGGCTCTACATCGTTACGGAGAGGTCCTTCATTATCTAGTGCGGTTCAGAAGCACAATGAACAACAAGCGGCGCCAAAGCCAGAAGTGGGCGCATTAGATCTTAGCACCCCCGCACCAGTACCAAGGACCGTACGAGTATCTATCGGTAGATCTTCGATTGGCTCTTCCGGGAGACCTTCTGGTAGATCAGAATCACCACAACAGGAGAATGAGTATGAGAATGAAGGGCCATGTGAATATCCTTCAACAGTCACAAGGTCACATCTAGCTGTGAGCCAGGGAAGTGTATCGAGGTACAATCCCTCTGCCGTAGGTCGTTCAAGGTATGGCGAAGAGATTGGATTGCAAAGCTCGATGAGAGTCAAGAGAGGTGCAGTTCCTAAAGTTTTTGGAACATTTATGAGAGGCCCCGCTCGAAGAGGACGACCGCGGATATCTCAATCAGATGAAGAACAGAGCCCAATGGAGGAGAACGCAAACAGCAATGAAGTGGGCTCAAATCAAGAACCTCAAAGTCAGGAATCGCAATATGATGAAAGGGAAAGCCAGAATAAAAGTCCAACGCCAGAGTTAGAAATAGGTAGGCGGGCTCCAGTCTCCTCGTACAGGGATTACGCCTCTTCGGGAAGTCCTCCTAGCTCGAGAAACGTGATAAATGCAGGCCTACGTTCCAGGTCACCACCACCCCCCACTTTATCTAGTTCTCGCGAATCCGATCCTCGCCCCATTCCCTCTGCGTCGAAGCAACAACCTGTGTTCAAGATACCAGCTCCACGTCCAGGGAATCCTGCGACTTACGATCAAGAAAATGACGCGCCCCCAACATTTAAGCGAAACAAACAGCCTTTAACAAACACGAATAGTGCAGAAAAACACTCTCGGTCAGAAAGCTTCGATGTACGTGCTAATGGGTCTCCGGAGAGACGTCCACTGGCTGTCCGGAGTCAAAACACTCCTCGAAGACCTGCACCACCACCACCAAAGATGTCCGTATTAGAGGCCGCAACCAGTACTGCTGGTGCTGCTACTACATCGCATGCCAATGCCCGAAGAAATAGGCTAAAGGTCAATGGAAAAATATTCACACGTTTGGATGTTATTGGACGTGGGGGTAGTTCAAAAGTGTACCGAGTGATGGCAGAGAACTCGAAAATATTTGCATTGAAGCGTGTTTCCTTGGAAGATGCAGATGAATCAGCTATACGTGGTTTCAAGGGTGAAATTGACTTGTTAAAGAAGCTTGGCTCAGTAGAAAGAGTAATTCATTTATATGACTACGAATTGAATGATGAGAGAGGAGTTCTTAGTGTGGTAGGTTACATCGTCCAGATTTTTGATATAGAGCAAGTCAGCTAACGCTCACCTAGCTTATGGAGATGGGTGAATTGGATATGAATACAATCCTAAATCTACGCATGAAATCTGAACACGCCAAGTTGGACGTCAATTTTGTACGCTACTACTGGAAAGAGATGCTTGAGTGTCTCCAAGCTGTTCATGCTTACGACATTGTTCATTCTGATTTGAAACCTCACAACTTTGTCCTTGTCCAAGGTCGTCTCAAGCTGATAGATTTTGGGATCGCCAACGCGATTCAAACGGAAGAGACCGTGAACGTCCACCGTGAAACACAAATCGGTACTCCAAATTATATGTCTCCCGAATCCCTCATGGACTCAAATGCTTCTGATGGGAGGAATCGCAACGAACCAAAACTCATGAAACTCGGGAAACCGTCCGATATATGGAGTTTGGGCTGTATACTTTATCAAATGACTTATGGTCGTGCTCCATTTGGTCATATTCAAAACCAACTGCAGCGCTGCCAAGCGATCATAAACTTCAGCTATGAGATTGAATATCCAGCATACGGTGTGGGTGGTGTTTTGGTTCCAAGCTCCCTGATTCGGACACTCAAAAACTGCTTGAACCGAGATCAGCATAAAAGACCATCGGCGGAAGAACTGTTAGAGGACCACGACACATTTTTGAATCCGTTAGAAATTGATATGGATAAGCACTTTCCCATGACAGAAGAATTACTAGGCAGGATTTTGCAAAATGTTATACAGAAGTGCGAAGCACTAGGGAGAGTGCCCAGTGAAGGAGAACTTTTGACTTCGTGGCCTAAAGGCTATTTCGCAAGTCTAAGGAAGGCCGAGAGGAGTGGGGCATGATTGACATTAAAGTCGTTGGGAACACGAATTGGAATGGATCATATTGAAATGCAAGCAAATGGAGTTTGTGAGCTGGATGAAAGGTGTTCGGCGTTTACTATTATTGTCGTTACCTTGTTCGAAGATTCAGAGACAGGTGGCATCATAGAACAAGAGGTCAGGCGGTAATTAATGTGTTTAAAGTATTGTATGATTCGATGGATAGGAAAAGAATGGCGTTTTGGGTATGCTTTTTTCTCTTTCCCTTCGTTGTGGTTTGGGAGTTTGTAGGATATACCAAATTCAGTTTTAGTTTCAATTATTAGTTTCAAGAGGAGGAGGGAAGGAGAGATAAATGAGAATTTATAATTCAAATCCTAAGTCTTGTACGAAAATGTTGTGCTGTTAAGTTAGAGTTGTGTATAGCCACTGGTGTGATATTCTTTTTTTATTATCTTGCAGGTGTTCTGTGATTATATGTGTTTGCCTCTTCACGTTTATGAGGTCGCCCAGCCACAGCATCTAGCTAGTCTACCCAGACCTAACAGCTATTTTTTCCCAAAGAGGTTGTGTAAAGACACTGACAAGACGATTTCAATTGCTTAGATTATGTACAAGTTCAATTATATAAACACTAGATACGCAAACGTGAACGTTAATTTTGCATCCAAATCAAAGAGGTCCTTAGACGCTTCAATAGTCGAGTAAAAGGGGCGTCGGGAGTAAGATGACCAATAAAGGACATAGAATTATGGGTTAATTTAGGGGAGGTGGGGAGGCAAGGTTAGACGAGTGCACGGCTCACTACGTCATCACCAAATCATTGTTCAATCTTCAAAGTTAAACTTCACTTGACATTCTCGAATTTTAAGAAATTTAAGAATCGCAAAATAATTATATCTCTGCATAAATTACACCAATTGCCATGCGATCGTCAATGATACCACGAAGCCTTATGCGCTCGTGTAGGACGGCTTCCACTCGACCTGCAATCGTTCGCCACACAGCGCTCGTATGCCAAATCTGCCACCAGCAATCCACCCCTCTATTCCAAGCTGCTCCTACGATATCCTCCCGCAGATACGCATCTTCATCTACAAATCCCTTACCATCTAATTCAACAGACCAAAAGACTCCTTCAGTCGCCTCAACTCCACCAACGCACTACGATCTTTTCCCTCTCACTCTACCTCGCGGTCCGCCACCCTCCGGTCCCTTTCACGTCGACGTTCGTGCGCTGCGCAATGAATTTCTCCGTCTACAGGCAAGCGCGCATCCAGATTTACACTCAGCATCGAATAAAGCCCGCGCGGAAGCTACTAGTGCTTTAATCAACGAGGCATATAAAACCTTACAATCGCCTCTACTGCGGGCGCAATACCTATTGGGGCTACAGGGTGTAGATGTACATGATGAGACTGGGAAGACCGGAGGGGAAGCGGGGGATAATGAGTTATTGATGGAAGTCATGGAGACAAGGGAGGAAATGGAGGAAGCGGAGGAAGAGGGGGACTTGGATGGATTGAAGATTCGAAATGAGGAGCGCATTGCTAAGTGTGAGGATGTTGTAGGGAAGGCTTTGGAGACTGGGGATCTGGAGACGGCAAGGACAGAGACGGTCAGATTGAGATATTGGGTTAATGTGAGAGAAAGTTTGCATGCGTGGGAGAAGGGTAAGCCGGTTGTTATGGTGCATTGAGGTTTAACGGGCATCGGGGTGTGAGTAGAAGCCATGGATTCGTCACATTCGATATGGCTTTTTACTATGATTTTGAGATATACTCAACACGGAAACGAGCGATAGTATTTGTCCTGGTTTCAACCAATCGTCTAACGTACGGCAAATGATGTTAGCCTTGGCTCAACTCGGAAACTGTTTCTCCTGCAGTGGCCGTGGTGGCAGAAGTACTGTCTTATCAACCCAAATCGATTAAATCACCACATCACATCTAGTCCGGAAGGATACTTCTCCACTTTCTCTCAATATGAGATTTAAATACAAGGTTTCGGTCATAGAAGACAAAAAGCTGCGTGCATGTGCGCGCTGATTCTGGCATGCACGTTGATAAATGGCGCAGAAAATAATAGAGGTGGAAACTTAGGGAAGAAGGAATTTAGAAATGACATTGATAAAGTTTAAATCTGCCCGGCTCGAGCAATCGGCAAGGCCTTTTTTATAGTTCCCTATTCTATATTATACAATAAGAATTCATAACTCTGGTTGGTTCTCATCTACTTGTTTCTTTTGCGTGTGAATGGGAATAGCGCTCAGGACGTAACTGATCTGTGCAGCTATGCAATGGCTTGAAAGCGACGTTCAGCAAAAAGTTGAGACGGGATTAGTAACTACAGTTCGGCATCAGTCGCCATCACGAAGCATGTCGAGATGTGGGTATCTCCATCCTAGACTGCTGTCCCATCTAGCCATGGAATTGTGCAGATCAGCATGATAATTTATCTCTTTCCATCTGATGTCGCAAATTGTGCAGGCTCGTCTGATATCTCATCTGTTAGCGATTCTCACGTTGGATTTGCAGTGGAGATTCGATAGCATGGTTCATAGCATCAAACGATTGATCAAGCCTCTCCAGCATTATCTTATAGCCTAGCAATGACGCATCAAATTGAAGCAGTCCCGGTGGCGCATCCGAGTTCCTATTACCATTACCATCACATACTTGTATTCTCCTTTCTTTTCCTTGCATCGCGCTCATTCCTATAGATTGCAGTCCTTGTAATCTTTCAGATCTTTCCAGACATTGTTGTGGGTTCGTCCTCCTGTTTCCATCTCCCGTTACTTGATCATCATCTCTCTCGCCCAAAGCTCGCTTTCTCATTACCCTAATCCCGACCTCTCGCTCTCAAATTATAACTTCGAATTTTCATGTATCCCATCACTAGTTCTTTGGACTTTGCTCAATCTTTTAATCCCGAAGCAACCTACAAACAGTACTCTGTCCATATATAACTCCTCAATGCCCCTCCATCAACCGGTTTGTAAGCTTCCTAGGTGCATTCGATGGCTACTTCGATGACGCGAAACGCCCTGTTTGAGAAGGCGAGGAGTCATTGTTGCAGCTTTTATGGGTGATACACTAGTTGGGTTGTGGAATCATGAGTTTTAATAAAGATAATAGGCGGTATTGAAAGTAAGCTTGCAATATACATGATTGGGGCTCGGTGCATCGCAGGGGAGCTTGATCTTAACCCTCACTTCTGATGACCAATATATCTGATTATCCTCCCAGCAATTCTTCTGAACTCCTACTCGCAGGCGTTGGATCTCTCTCATCACCAAAACACAACATCCGACTTATGTACGGATCGATTTATACGAACAGCCATCACTCTGTCCCATAATCCATAAACTGTTCATGTGTGAAAATCCCAAGCGATGCGAGAACGAAGCCTCACAAGACCTTCCTCTAGCTACATCGTAAATGATGACCACCAACTAACCTAAACCATCGACTTCGGTTTGTGAAAATCCAATAAATCACATACCATCAACCAGCATTCTATTTGTTGCATACCTTTGATCTTCTATCTGGGGGGCTGTTCCCTATAAGCACTCTGGATTGTGGATAGTTCGATAACTTAGGGGGTGATTCGGTAGTTTTCTCGCTACAGTAGCAGTGCAGCCTATGGCTAGTACATATGGAATGGGGAATGATACTAACACAGGGTACGACGGAAAGGTTTCTTAATGCAAGGTGTTTTTCGTTTAGATTTTGGAGGGGAATTTTCTTGCTGAGGTCGTCAATGTTTGTTGCATATTCTCGAATATATTTTCTCTTTCCATTTTGTATCAGGAAGGATTAGTCCAAGTAGATGTACCTACATTTGTGTGCATCATCTATTCTGAACAAGCAATACATTTGGCTGCCAAACCTGACGAGGAGGAATGTCGCTACTTTTTCATAGTACTCGAGTAATATCCTCATTCATCTCTATTCGTTCTTGGCAAAGTAATGGAATAATTCAAATTCACGCATCTTCTTCTCCAAAATCAAACTTCGCCGAAGAGGCTGGCAAATCATTACTCTCCTTATATCAACACGTTATAGCAGAGAGTAACCCTTCTTGCCTTTTTTTTTTTGAAATCTATCTAAAGAATGTTGCCGCACTTACGATTGATATCAGGAGAGGAAACTCAGGGCTAGTTAGACGAGTCTTTTGTAGGAGATTTCGAGATTTAACACAGAAAGTATACTGATGATCGATATTCTTCATCGTTGCAATATTCAACCTCCAATCCAGCCACTTGCACTAAAATCGACTCGCTATACCATCTCTTTCCCTCCAATCACCTTCAACCTTTTCTTTTCCGCCCAGATTCACCCGTATTTCTCACATCAACCCCATCGACCCCTTCAACCCAAAATCCAAAATTCAAACCTCAAAAGCCACACCCCACGAATCCCGCCTTCCTCGAAAAAAACTAAGAAATCAAAAAAGCCTGCCGTCCCCGATCCGCAAAATATCTCTAAAACCCCTATCCAAGACTCTTATCAAACCTCAGATTCGCGAAAGCAATTCATGCAAGCAAGTCTTAAATCACCATCGCTGCATCAAACTCCACACGGTGCTCGTTGTTTTCGCTGTAAATTGATGTATAGTAGGAGGAGGGGGAGGGTAGGTATCTCTGTAGGTCCTTGCTGTGAAGTCGATCTCGCTACCGCGATGCTCACTTGGTGACATTGGGCCGAATTCGATCGTTTGAGATACATATCTGAGATTCGTCACAGAAGAAGGAAATACATGTACGTACAGGTTATCAGGAAAAACAAAACCTTTCTTCCGCTCGATGACTGCATCACATCACGATAGCGAATATTCCCATCCAAATTCCCCCTCAAACTGTACACTCCCCTCCCTATATCTACAATACAATAGACCCCATACACGTACATCAGCTATTCATCAACATCTACTTCCTTCAGCAATCTACTTCCAGAAGTCTCATAGTGACCTTTCTCATAGTTTACAACGCTTTTCCAGCTAAGCTCACCTCTATGGCCTATTTCGTATGACATGGAATTTCCTTTGAATCTCCAAGACGACATGATGTAGATCCACAACACTCACATACAACGCGAAGTTTGTGCGCATACCATCTGCATCTCTTGATTCCTAGACATCCAAACCTTCTCCAGAGTCTATAGCATCCTAACACGAATACAATGCCAATTCCATGAACCATCAAACTTGCACGGTTCAATCATCAGAAGCCTCACGTGTAGAACTTTCCATTACTTCCACACACGTCACGTATCATCTATGTGCAACAAACTCAATATCTTCACAGATGAATTCATGATAATCAGCAACAACATCAGTAGATCGCATTTGCTGTCTTTCAATTATAAACATGGACACACACAGAACTTCTCTATCCCCACCAAATTTTCACAATTCCAACAGACAATCATACAGTCCAGTGAAGAGAAGAAGAACAAACAGACAGACAAACATATGCCCAAATATAATCTATAGAAGAGGAAGGAATACCCAGACGCCAATTCGCTAGCCACAGACGGGCGCATAGCGGTACTCACGTTACAAACGCTTTCATTAAAGGTGTTAATTGCATCTCCTCATGAAGCAAAGACAATATAGTATATCCAGAGAAAGGGTGATTTTTGTCTTTTCGTTTTCGTAACCGTAATGGGGGTCATGCCCGTTCAAACTCATTCATCCGCCAATTATTCTTCCATCCGAGTTAAATCGATCATGAATCTTATGAACTGCCATTCGCGGCATCCTTTGACTTAGATTTCCCCATGATCTTTTGCCATGCCTTGATCACCAGATCCTCCTTGAACCTCTCCCACCATGTTCTGTTCAAGAAATTACTCAACTCCCTGTAATTATACATTTCACCCCAACAATCACGTCCCCACTCACAACCTGCCATATTCACCAAGAAATCCCGATCATGTTCATCATAATGAATGCGCGTATCGTTTCCGTTATCCGAGCATGCTCCACGTGGGAAACTATTGATTTTGCGCTGGGGAATAAATGCGGTATGGGGTCGGATCCAAGGTTGATTGATATACAAGAATTCGAGAGCGTCTTGTTCTTTATGTTCCCATTCCATGTGTTTTTGTTCATAGCCGACAGGGTCCCACCATACGTCAAGAAGGCGATCAGTCCATGCGCTGCGTTTGACGAAGAAAGAACCGAGATTGAAACCGGAACAATCTTGTGGGACTATGAGGTTTATAGAGCTTGCTTGACCGTCTCCGACCGTGCTACGAGATTCGGCATCTAGGTAGGGGGAGTTGAGAGGGTGTGTTATGTTCAGTGGGTTATACTCATTGATATCGCGGTAGGTATTTTTGGCTAGGCTGTTGAAGATGTGGGATTGGAGGGAGTAGGAAGGTTCCATGATGAAGGTGTTGAGGTCGAGCCACCAAAACCTGCGCAGTGTTAGTCTCTAAGCTCCATTTAACGCTTATCAGGGTCCAAATTACCATTCAGCTTCAGGGTATTTTCTCAGGGAGTTCCGGATAGTGTCAACCTTTTCCCAACTCTCTCTCCATTCGTGCGCGTATCTCTTCTTGGTGCTCATGTCCACGATCTCCAATTCGTAACCCCATTTGTTTGCATATTTTCGTTTGTTCTTCACACTGTCTCGTTCGATTGCCCATTCCCTTGGTCCCTTCCACTCCATAACTCCACCTCCTTGATTTGCTGCCAATATTATCACGAACTTTTTACCCCCTCCAAAATGCGTTGCTCGGCGCCACCAGTAATGTAAAGCTATTTCGAGGTTAGCATTTCGCACTGTCTCTCTGCTCGATGAGTTGACCTACGTGTAGAATAGAAAAGAATTATCATCATTACAAACCCCAACACAATCATAAATCGCATCCTCATCTTGCGACTGACTCTCGCAAGACCATTTCTTATACGTGCCAGCTTGGAAGAGCCTAACCATCGTCCGCGCCCCAATTTCTCTTTTTCCGCATAACTGCCATCCCCTCCCATGTGAAAATGCGGCAGACTATTTGATATATTTCTGATGTGCCGATTGAAGAAGCCATTGTTTTTGGTTGAGAATGAAGGGTAACCATTTACTTCCTCGCTCTTTGCTCTCGCAGACTCCCAAGTTACCGAGCCCCCATTTCCGCCTGTCCTTTGCATTTTATTTGGGCTCGACCTTCCACTGACATTGGCATAAGGGCTTGAAAGGCCTGGACTAGCCCATCCTCCTCCAGGTCTTGGAGATGGACTTCGCGATAGTGACATTGAACCAATCGGTGTTCCAGGTATAGGTGATAACACCCGGGTGGAGGTATGGGAGGAAGTTCGTTCGTCAGGCTCAATTCCTGTCTTTATGTGTATCGATGACCGTTTTCGATGATGTTGGTGGGAGGATTTTAAAGAAGAAAGACCGGAGGACGCCAGCTTGACGAAATGACCGAAGAAAGTCAAAAGGGTAAAATAAACAATAAATTTAATGAGACACTATAACTAGCTCGTTCCTATTATTTATTACCTTACTCGACCTTTCCAAAAATTCAAGTCGCGACCACTCTATGGAATGAATCCGTTGGCTGAATGCAAAGTGTCCTGAGGTTCTTGGCGTTCTCTCGTGTTTATTAGATAAGGGATGGATGGTGTAAGTTACTTTTATTTATTTTGTTTTATTTTGTTTCTGCTTTGAGAACGATTGGCTTGAGCGTTTTGTTGAATGGCGTTTTTGAATTGTTGGTGACAGCCGTTTGGAGGTGAAGGATTGAATACGGGATACATGTATGTATGTATGTGACTGTGAGTATAGTCAGACTTCAAGACTTCAAGACTTCAGACTTCAAGATGGCAAGATGGCAAGAAGGAGAGGAAAGTGAAGATGCATTAAACTATATTACTATATATCTGGGTGATTATATGTAGTTATTCCTCTGTTCCTATCCCAATCCTTTCTCTTTCTCTTTCTCCATTTATTAATGAAATTAATTATCTTGTGTAATTACGCTTCATTGATAGGGGTAATCTAGGAGTCTAATACTCGAGTATACTAGGGAGAATTACGCCTTATATCTTGACTGCTGCAACTAGATCCTGCTGCTGGTGGATAAACCGGGGATTCGATAGCAATTTCTTATCATTTGGCTTGGTATAGCTATCCTCGTCTCATCTGGTGCATCTGTAGGTAGGTAGGTAGGTAGGTAACCTTATTCCTCTCCTTTAAAGGTTATTATACCTTAACTTATGGAAACATACCTGGTACTTCGGATACACAATCGGTGAACAGATATCCTTGGTGTGTGTCCATCGTATAGGAGTACGGTGGCTTAGCTAATGCTTGTTACTGAAGACACGATGAGGTGATGGTGAGATCTTTCATGAGATCTTTCACATCGTGAGCCAAACGTTGCAGCCGCTGTCAATACTTTACTATCTAAAACGACAAAGCGATGATATATGCTAGGTCTGACATTGGAAGGCAGGTCTTGGAAATGGAGACAAAGTCAACACGACAGCCGTCATTAATTTCCAAAGCAATATGTATATCTCGCAAGTTCAGTGGGTCTTGGAACTGGACATGGTGGCATCTCAACGGTGAAGAATCTCTACGGTCGAGATGGTGAGCTGAATACGACAACTGCCGTCACCGTCGCAAATGATGCACGAGACAGAGTGTTGGTAAGCTTTACATCACATCCACCATCCGTTCTTATCTTCCAGAGTACCTAATACGAAAGAGTTGCCCGAAAGCATTCGCAGCTGGATGGGCAAATCGGAGGTCAAGAAGAATCCCACCAGATACTCAATACTCAAATACGAACATCGAAAAGACAGATGCTTCTCAAAAATGATCTCCCACTGGCCACATGCCAAGGAGCAGGCTTTGTTTCCGCTAATGTGCACATCATATGGTCTCACGTGACACTAACATCACCAATCCTCCATACACATGTGGGATGATGACCTATACTTCTTCAATTTTTACATCCAAGAGTTCTAATTCATCTAGGCTGACAATTTCTCTTCATTCTCAACAACCCACAGTGACAAAAAAATCATTTTAAGACTCTTGGAAACAACACTATCCCCCTCAATTTCAATTTCAACTTCAACTTCAACTTCAAGCTCCTACGCAACGCAACGTCCCTCTTTCTTGCAAGCACCAGCGCAACCAATTGCATAAGCAGAAGCCCATCCAGACGCAGCAATGGTGGGTGCACCAGAATGTTTTCCAAAATAACACATTCCGGTGTCCCTTTGGAAATCAACAGATTGACACGCCAACGTGAATCCGCAAATCTTCATACATTCCTCTAAAGAGCCTGCTTGTGTATCACCAATGGGGATCGTTCCATGGCGCTTGCAACAGTCCATACGGAATCGCTGAAAAATAGTTAGTCACCGTTTCAATTTTTGCCTTTTCTCACTAGACACTTACTTGTCCTGTTGGAGAATCCCACGTTTGTCCATCGGCATTTGGGCATTCTGTTGAACAAAGGTATGTCAAGTCGTCTTGTTTCGCAGATGTTGGTGGGTTAATGACAACCGCGGATGCTTTCTTGTCTGTGAAGAATAATTAGCTTCCACGTAATCAAAGCAGGTAATATGAATTAATTACTCGTAGCATCTGCAGTTAAAGCTTCGACGCTAGCCTCGAACATTTTACACTCCCAGTCGGGATTTCCATTAGCAAATGTTACACTATTTTAATCAGTCTTGTTCCAAGGCTTTTTTGGAATTATGCTTCATACCTCTTGCATTCGGGAATATCTGCACAAGCAGTCATGCATTCGGCGAAGTCATGAAGTGGTCGACTTCCAGGGATCGTGAGTTCAGCTGTGTTCTCGAAGCTGCACTTGACCTGGAAGTACGTGCCCTGTGGAGTCAAAAATATCTTTCCATCATCTGAAATCGTCAGTGAATAAGATACTGACTGTATATTTGCGTATGTGCTTACTGGTTGGACATTCGCCATCAGTTGTGAAACTTGCACGGGCGGTCACACTTTCTGCGAGAGCTATCTTGGGTGCGGGACATTCGGGTGGTGTGCGGTACTCTGTATCGGGACGCTGCTTGCGTTCTTCGAGAGGAAACCAGGTGTGCGTTCCTGTAAGGGGAAATGTCTTTTCTTGTCAGTAAAAAGGGGACGAAAGATAATCTTCTCTCGAGCTTAATTCTACTCACCGGTATGTACTACTAAAGTTAGCGGGTCACAATCATACTCAAAGATTATACAATACACATACCTCCTGCTTTGTTGCACACATTTTGCTATTGATGTTCCAATCGGCAGACTGGCAATTTGGAAGGGTTGAGCAATAATCTGCACATTCCTTTTGTGTGGCTGTGGTCGTAGCATCAAGAGGCTTAGCAGTGGTGCCGTGATCGCATTTCAACTCAAACGTTACTCCATTTGCCGTTGTATATCTTGCTCCGTTGTCTGCCGGACAGGAATAGACTTTGGGTCTCCCCGCTGCTGGATCCCCGGCAGCGGGAGCAGTTGAGGCGCCAGGTCTCCCTGCTGCTGGAGCTGCGTCTGAAGACGTAGGAGGAGTTGAAGCACCGCCGGGCCTACCAGCAGCAGGAGCGGGTCCTGAAGCCGCTTGCTGAACTGGCACCTGATCAGGAGGAGGTGCGCTGCCAGGTCGGCCAGCTGCGGGTGCTGGGGCAGGAGCTGCTGCACCTGGTCGTCCCTGAGCCTGATCTTGAGCGTTCACAAATGGCTGGAATAGAAATAAAAGGGAAAAAAGTATAACGAGGGTACTTCTAGTGAGGCCCATCATGGTTGTCGATGAAGTGTGACTCAAGAAGGATAGTAAAAAGATGAAGGCGAGGATGTCTTTCGCAAGCGTGTAGAGCAGAAAATTTGGACTTGATGGCGATTTAAACAATAAGAGTGTTTGCTGTTCAGATGACGAGGGAACTGGAATATGGGCCTCAGCTATTCTAAGGTAAATACATTTCGTTCCTCAGATTAGCCCCATATATGTTCATGCATCCTTGTGCTCATTTGTGACGCCACTTCTTCTGTAAGCCAGGTAAAACTTTATTTTCCGATGAAACCTATCACTTTTCCGGCCGAGAGGATACACATTCAGCCGGCAATAAATAGTTACTGTCACACAACAAGGATGATTCAGATACGCCGCATTTCTTGAACTGACTTGTACAGACAGTAACACTGAGATACATGAAATTCAATATTCAGTTACATATTTAGAGCAAAGAGTAACACAGCGTATGCACACATTTTTTATTCTAAGTCAACACTTCACGGTTTCCCTCGCATTCACGGAATGTCGATCCTAACAACTTTAGGAGAAACACACATACTCGGTACCCTTTTGTGTCTTCATAAATTCACAACCCGGTTCTCTCGGAGGTTTACAAAAAGGGAATCTTGATTAATGTCCCACAGACAGCCCCATAAGACAGTTCATATTTTGGACTTTGAGGCTTGCGTTGAGAGATACTCATTTGATACAGCATTGGCAAGGCAACTTTCTTTTCCATCGCTCTTTTGTATAGCCTTCTATGACCAGTCTCTTGAGAGTTTGCTTTGACATATTCTCTTCCTTTTCAAAATTACAATCAATCAATTTTGTTAACAGTTTAACATCGCAGACTGAATATTCAATCTTAATATGTTGATCTACAATTTAGCGAAGCTGTTGCTTCCTCTCACTGTCCTAACAGGTCAAGTTCTTGCCGTCGACCCAACTCCAGCTGATAAGGCAAAATGGGATGCTATATGCAAGCAAAGTAAGATCATCACTTCAAGCTTCTCAGGAACTAATATACTAACTTATGACAGAGGCCGGATCCCAATTTTGTGAGTTGATAAAATAGCCTCAGCATTTGCTCTCTCTGACAAAATTTGCAGCCATGCAGTTCGACGCGGCTGGCAGTAAGTTCTTTCCAGATAAATCATCGATATTGTGCTTATTGAATACCCAGAACCGACTGGGCAATGTGTTGCTCCTCCAGTCACAAATTGTTACTGGGGTCCATACACCGTAAGAAACAATCTCTCCGTAAGGTCGTGATTTCATTTTCTGAGTCCCATAGGATCCGAAAACAAACAAGCCTGGATGCTGCGGTAAAGACAAGGTAAACTTCTTTGCAATTTGGTTCTACACAATATGAAGCTCATTGAAAATTCTAGGGAACTTTCAGCGTTGATCCCGTGGTCAAGACTGAAGGAGCATGTTGCGTTGCTCCAAGTGCCTTTTCTTTCGATGCCACAACGAAGAAAGGCGATTGTTGCGCTCCGGGTAAATTCTATCATGCTGATCCAAAAACCTTGACTGGCAGCTGCTGTGCAAACGACGATGATGTGTTTACCTGTGATTGTTCTTGCAAGCCAGTAAGTGCTTCTCCTAGGAGATGAAGGTTGTAAAGTTTCTAGACTAAAACTACCGGCTTAGAACCCAACACCTTCCTGCCCCAAGGGTGACGGAAAGGAATTTACGGCTGGAGGCAAGAAATACAAGCTCTATTGTAAATTGAGTGAGTAAAGTCCCTCGCCTCATATTTGATCAATGTCTAACAAGCTTATTGTTAATCACGGAACAAACAACTTGGGTCAAGCACCCGCACCTTCTCTGGGCGATTGCATGACTCGCTGCTCTGGAATAAGTAACTGCGTCCGTGCAATCTGGAATCAAGCTACCGGAATCTGCTACTTACGAAGTCACGGCAACAACGCAGTACCCGTAACAGTTGATCCTTACGACAGTGCTCATCTTATCGAGGAGCCTGTTTGTCCCTGCCCGTGCCCAAGTACAACTCCATGCCCGTCGTGTCCAACACCAGACCCCTTCCCAGATAAATGCCCGGCCGCTGAAGGCAAGACAACTACGGTGGGTGGGGTTGAGTACAAGGTTTATTGTACGTTGGGCCATACAGCTGCAAATCCAAACTTGGGAGTTTCGAGCGCAAAGGATTTTAAGGAGTGTATGGAGCAGTGCTGTGAGTTTTACATTCATCTCATTGAACCGCGAAAGGAAATACTAATCATTGTTATCTAGCTGCAAAAGCCTCGCCTTTCTGTCAAGGCGTCAATTTCTATGATGATGGTAATCCCACAGACAATTGTGTTTGGGCTTCCATACACCAGAGTCCCCCAACAGGGGCAGCGCCCGCCGGAGGAGATTTCTTATGTGCTATCCCTGTTACAAAGAGGACTTAGTGAAAAGCTACTATCTAGGCTCATAGAAACTTTTCGGGAAGTGGGGACGGCTAGGTTGATAGGGACAATTGGTGTCCTATTTTTGGAGACGAAAGATTAGGATTACTTCAGGCTAGAATTTCAATGACAATTGCTTTGAAGTTGATACAACCATTTCCCATTTTAACTGAACCCATTCCAGTAAACAATTTCGACCGGGTGAGGCGAAAATTAGACATCACGAGATCTCGCTTGCAAAGAAAACGCCTCGCCCCAACGGCAACCCGCCTCATTCCCAACCTCACCTGAATTTCTTCTGCATGTAGGGATTTTCGGAGAAACACCAATTTCATGCATATGTATCACCTACTCAGATCGATCACAACAGCCATTTTATGGTCATTCCTATCCTCGCGGGAAGAGGACACGATAATGCAACAATTACTCCTTACAGTGTGCCTTGCTTCCGAGTTCCGTGTGAGCACACACTTATGACAGTTTCATTTCTTTAGCTCAGCTACACAAGAGTTCTGTATCTAATAAACTGCGTCACACAGTTGTCACTAGATATATGATATTTCTAGTGTCTCAACTAGTTTCCGAGGATCGCGCCGGATCGGCACGAAGTGCCAAGCCTTGTTGCAACAGATGATGCATGCCATTCTTCGTACAGACACACTACTACGCTACCCCATACTTTTAATATACGTATGTATCACTTGGTCAATGTATTTGTTACGCGGCCTCAGATCTTGCGTATTGTGAACTACTAATTTCAACAACGCAGGCAGCCACAATAGCATCTTCAGCTACAACATAGCTGCGCCAAATCAGTATCTAAGACAAAGCAACATAGTTCAGCTATACCAGCAAAGTAACAGCTACATTGGACAGCCATTAATGTGTATTTTGGCGTGGCCCACTGATGAATCTTATGGTCGGCGAGGTTCTCAAACTGTGATAGGAATGCTTCTGAGGTAAGGATTCAATAGAATCTTCCTGCATAATTTGCGGGGTTGTGAATCATGTCAACAACCAAATGTGTCATGCTAGTCATCCAAGTGAGGAGGCGGTGACACTTCATTACGGCTTTGGTGTTCTGGTCCTGGCTCCTTCCTGCAACATGCAGAAATCGGGGCTTGTGCTACGTACATATCACATCAAGTGAATTACCTTGTCTTTATAGAACATTGGGAGGAAAACATACTTCTACATCCGCTTCCCCTTGGTGGATGATTATACTTTCAATTTCACTTGGCTTCTATCCTCTTTCAACTACATCTACCACTTCACGATGAGAACATTCAAGCTCTCAATACTTGGTGTTTTCACCATTGCAAGCTTTGTAGCTGCTCAGCTGGAGACGCCTCAGGTATATCAGTCCTTTTCATTCCCGACTATTTCGATCTATGCAAGTATGCTACAGAATTATGATGATCTGACTATGGTCTACTTCAGGATTTCTGCAAGAGAACCGCCGGGCCAAATTACGTCCCTAAATATGATGCAAGTGGTGTCTTCCAGGGCGAATGCGAAACCGCAGCCATAAGCAGTACGTATCTTTGCCCATTGTCTCAAGCTTCATATATCTAACAATCAAAAAACAGTTTGTCTTGGAACAGAGTAAGATTCCAATTCTCTCCTGGCTGGGAGAAACCTACAGGACTGTCTTGTGATGAAAGAAAACGAGAAGCTAATGTAAGCATTGTAGATATGCACAAGCTCAGACTGGCGCTACAACATGCTGTCTGCCACCAAATACGGTACAGTCTGCTGGTGGGAAGCAAGGCTGTTGCCCACCAGGCCAGAATTTCAAATGGGATGGTATGTTTCCTCTTCCTTTTTCAAGCTATCTTTCAGATCCGCTACTCTTTCTGTAGTCATAAATCTCACATACCAATACAGGCACGTCCCCCTCTTGCGTCATACCACCACCACCCCCTCCCGCCATCTCTTGTCCAGCTTCCAACATGCAAGTTGTGAATCGAAACGGGCAAAACTTCAGAATTTACTGCCAGCGTTCAGTGATGGTCTACACATATCCTTGGTTGACCACCACCTCTCATGGCATATACAGAGCCATACAGGGCCCTGAGTTGATGACGAATGATTTTGAAACCTGTCTACGATTTTGCGCAGCGAATGGGAAATCTAATGGAGCTAATTTCTGGCCTGCACAAGGATTGTGCTCTGTGGTTGACACGCCGCCTGGAAATTTCTTCAAAGTGGGAAGTCGTTATGATGTACCACCTCCTCCATACAATGGACCACAGATTATCTCCATGGTAGCGATCCCGAAACGTGCTTATTAGACTACGCTTGTTAGATGTGTTGAAGAATCGGGTCGGATAGTTAGGGCAATATGGACAGACTATAGCTAGTTCACAAACAATACTTCCATTTGTTATCATTGTGTTTCCGTGGGAGTAGAGGGTGGATTGCAACTTGAAAGTGAGGCTCAGTATGCTAGATTAACTTAACATAATAGTGTTGCTGTTCATCGCGGTTAAAACCCATGTCTCCCACCATTTTCGCCAGTTATTCTTCTCCCGCCGTTGATGTTTCACATGCCATTACCCGAGAATTTCTATTCCACAGAAACGAATTGCAAACTTCCAATATGAGCTTGATTGTATTAGATGGCTGTCATCAGAGACACCATGACATGAAGATGAGACCCGTTGCTTTGTGTACACGGCTTTGAAACCTTGGTAAAGGCATTTATCCCAAAAGATGGAGGACGAGCTCTTATACTTTGTATTGTAACTAATACTTACATTGTTTCCCATATGAAAATTAAATTGCCGATACGTACATCAGGTAGGTACCATTCAGACAGAGCAGCGTCATAGGTAGGTTTCATGATTAAACCCTTTTCACAAAGGCTCAGTACAAACCGTTGTGAAGATGTGGTAGAATAATATTATCCTTGCACCTGCGTGGGTTTAGTATCGACATATCAGATGCTAGTTCTATCATGTGATTATGATCACAGATACTAAACACGCACCTCATTAATCGCTAGTAATAATCTAACTTAATCATCACCATTCCCCCATCTTTTCTACCCTCTTTTTCATTCTTCAACAACTCCCAAACGTTGAACGAGGCCTATCCATCTCCTTGCGAGAATCCACGATAATGACTTCCAATCATAGAAGACATCATTCTCTGGCGTAACAATGATCAGATAATTGTCGTCATGCAATATTCATGGATAGGTTCTCATTTAACGCGCCAGCCAATCACTGCATATCAAACTTTTCTTGTCGGCGCGTAAAGTTACAGCAAGAGACCACAATTTCCAATCGACTGGTCAATACGTGATGTTACCATTATGACTTGTAACGGCTTGTGGCGATTGTGAGCGAATAAGAAAAGCTTGCTATTTTCGGTATTTCAAGTCTGGAATCTAGATTGTAGATCGTGCTTCATGGCTAATTTGTAGGTCTACTTCATATGGGTTGTGTCATCACATCAATTCTGTTTCATTGTTTTTTATCCCTCTATCTCCTACCTACTCATACATTCGTTTTCTTACGTGTAGTTCTATTGTACATTGTCACTGATTTGTTCGCTTCTCATTTTGCTTATTGTCTGTTTGGATCATGAGACGTTCACTTTCGTTTATCATTATTTGTTATTGTTGAGTCCTCAATAGCCACTGTCTAAAATTTCCTATTGTCCGAATCTTATTGTTGGTCTTGTAATCCTCAGAATATCTCTTATTTATGATCATGAGGAGGCTGGACCCGAGGCATTTTCTTTTTCACGTATAATTAATAGACGTTTCGACCTTCCTCAAGTCAAAGAGATTATTTGCAACTATACCACCTAGAGCAAGAACGACCATCGCTGGACAAAAAGCAAGAAATTTTCCATTAATTACACTTTCAATCCATTTTCAGATCACAATTTTGACAATATCTGCAACCATTTCGCTATGAATACCAAAGACAAGATCATATCTAAATCTCCTGTTGAGAGACCGCCAGCTCTATCTACGAACAATCCTTCCACGGTACTTACAGAAAATCCTTTTGAAACCATATTTGACGGGAAAAGCGAAGATGATGATTCTTGGAAAGACGAAGATGCATATTCTATCGCTTCATCGGAGGAGCTACAACAGTCGAGACCCACGGGAAATATCACTACCGGCCGCACAGGAAACATGACGCGCACATTCAGTCGTAGAGAGAGAAAATCCTCTATAACGAGAGTGATAAGAGAGAAGTCAAAGGGAAGACAGCGCAAGATCCATGCAAATCCCCGCCTTAAAGTCCAAACATCTTTTTCAACACACCATGGACCTCAACCTCAAGCGATATCTTCACAACACTCTCGATCCAATGGAGTTTTTGTTGATCTGGCCACCCTCAGGAAACTGGAAAATGTTTCGGCTCATCCAAACGGAACTTTGTGGAAATCGTTGGAGAATAAGAAAAACAATGCCATCGAAAACTCTGCTGAGGAGACTAAGAACGAGGCTCTAGAACCAGTACAGAGCGAACCATCGAATGTCTATCCGCTGGCAGAGCGAAGAGGATCTTTGAGACCAGCAGCTCTGAAGTTGGAGGATGACTTGTCTCCTAACGACCGTCCAATTGTTATTGGCATATCGATTCCATCTGCACGTTTAGCTCATCATGCAACCACCCCGCAGACATCAACATCAATCGCTTCAACAATGATGGGAAGTTACGGGCATGAGACACCAATAGGGAGAGAATTAGTAACGCCATCTATCGTCATCACGCCTGCCCATGAGATCTCTGCGTGGTCACCGTACAGTACTGCTTCGAATGTGTCACGAGCACGAACTCTATCAACATCTTTTTCAGTAGCCAGCCCCAATGACCCATTTAAAGAGGGGGCACCACCATTGCCGACAATTCCAGCAGCTTTAGCCGAAGAGGAGAAGCGAAGAGTAGCCGTTCAGCATAGTTATTTTTCTCCAGATTCGAATGCCACTACTGAATGGGATGACGAGCCAGATTCAACCCGAGTTCTGTCGTCTTGTATTATTTATGAAGAGGACGAGCATCCAATTGTTGTGCGAAGTGCTCGTGCAGTCAATGTTCCAGATAATTTGAAAGTGGACAACCATGAAAGTATCGATACCATTGCTGCACGGACTCGCTCTGGATGGTGGAATTATATCACTTCGCCATTTATGACACGGTCGAACACAATACTATATCCAGAGAAGAAGGTTTCCGATATCCCTGAAGTACCTATATTAACCATTGCAGCAGCCAGAGCTCAGGAATCAAAGGCGGAGCGAAAGTCGTGGGAACAGCTTTTTTCTCCTCTTTCTATCAAAAGATCAAACTCTAATGCATCAGATGCTTGGTGGGATGTGACTCCCTTAGGTTTCAGATCAGAGAAACAGGTATCCCCTGGCTTAGTTTACAAAGAGACGAGACATCCGGTCAAGCCGTCGGTAGCTACTTTACCCTTTGTTCGTTCAGCTTCGGGCGATGTGGGAGATGCATCATTGGCTAGCGCCGTTGATATGACTACCACTGCAGATTCTGTGCATTTTGCGAGTTCTACAATGCCTCATGACCATTCGGTTATTTCAAGTTCATCACAAGGAGGTTCTATTTTGGTCAACAAAGACAGTTCGTTGTTATCTTCAAACGATAGCACAAAAGAACTTGGAAGCCATAATCCCTTTGTTCAGTACCAAAATAGTAACATTGATCTTTATAACGACTCGAGAATGGTTAAAGATACGGACTTGAGTGATTCAGGGTTAAAATCGAGAACACTCATTGTGAATAACGCTACTGAACCACCACCACCACCACCACCTTATACTGAATCACCAAAAAAAGTCAGAAAATATCGAGCCTATTTTCCTTCCTCCCGCGAATCAGTACCTACACTAGCACCAGCACCAGCACCAACGGTGGTTCAAGCTTCAGCGCCAGCTTCAACTTTGCAATATCCTATTTCCCCCGGACCCATCTCCCCAGAAAGCGAACAAAAGATGGCTTCACAAGCTGGTATTCAGCTGTCAGATGTTCCACTGAGTCCTGCGCGTGGTAGAACCAATCAGAGCACTGCATATCCTGGGCCTGCTAGGCATACAACACCAACAATTCTGATTATGACTGAAGAATATCTCGAGCAAATGGCAGACAAAGCAGCTCTTAAAGCCGCCAAAAAACCAGAATCGAAACGTCAAAGAAACGAAAAGGAAGATAGCATGGCTAGCAAATTAGGTGGGCTGTTCAAGAAATGTATACCCAAAAATGGTAGGCAAGGTCCTGAAGGTCGAAAAAGACGAAGATGGTACTGCTGCGGAACCACTGCATTGATCGTTATGGTCATCACGATTGTAGCGCTTGCTGCGACGCTAACTCGCAAACCAAAACATGTTGCATTACCATCTCAATGGTTGAATCTCACTGGCTTCCCTCCTATTTACGCTGGGCTCTCGACGGTAGCAGCTCCAGTGAACATTGTGTCAAATACTGGTTGTGTATTTCCTTCTACGCAATGGAGCTGTGCTTTACCAAAGGAGCAACAAGCTTCTGTCGCGCCAAATCTACCAAACCAGCCCAACTTCTTTTTGGAGATTCAATGGGACAACAGCAGTGCAGCAAATGCAACCTTTGCAAATGTCACAGGGAACAAGAACCTCCCTACACGCAGTCTTGTCGGTAATCCCGTCTCTGCTGGAAAATTCATCAGAGACTTGATATTGAGAGCACGTCAAACCGTTACTTTCAATCCCTTACCGCCACCACCATCATATGCCGAAGAAGCGTTTTTGAGAGACACCACTGATGGGATAGTTTCATCCAACAAAGCTGGAGAATCAACACCTTTTTATATATCTTTCTTATCCACTACAAGCACTACTTTGCCGACTAACAGCCGCGTGAAGCGTGCAGACTCAAACAACACCGATCCAGATCTGTTCCCAAATATCACTACTGGAATCCCAGCCCCAAGTCTGAATACCGATGGCACTGCCGCTCCAGCAAACCTTCTTCCATATCCCATTCAACAGCCAATTCGTCTGTATGATCGAGGACTTCCTACTGAGCATTATGGATTCTATACTTACTTCAATCGTACTATTTTCCTCAAATCTCTTTCATTACTCAACGATACCAATACCTCCAACGGTGAAGTTCCTGATGATCAAAATGGCGGGGCTCTTGAAGGGGAAGCCAATTTCCGTTGCACATGGGGTGAAACTCGCTTCTTAGTACAGATGTGGACTAGGATGAATGGAACTGCCAGACTCAACAATGCTACTAGTTCGACTGGTGCGTCTACTGTTATTGCAGGACAAGATTTCTCGCAACCTGGATCATTCCCTTATCCGATCACTATTACTACCGATCGACATGGCGGAAACCCTAGTAAGAAGCTGTTGTACTGTTACAGTATGAATGATAGAGAAGGAATTATAGCGACCAGTGGAGTAGTCAATGGAGAGAATAGAGCATTTGGAGGCAAGATTATCAATCCAGCTCCGAGCGTTTTCTTGAATACTAGCGATTCATCGCTTGGAGGTTTTGATGGAGGAACCGGGGGGTGTTCTTGTGCATGGAGTAACTTCCAGGAGGTCATCAGTACTTCAGGGACTTGAAGAGAGAGAAGATGATGATGATGCATTGTTATGATATTATGGATATAGGTATAGGAAAAAAAGAGAAAAGGAAAGGAAAGAGGACACAATTTAGTGGCATGGGCTAGGAACATTGAATAACTACTACTATAGAAATGCAGAGTAGATAATAGATCAGAATAAGTTAGAAATTGTGTAGGAATGCTCCTACAAATAATATATGTTTCAATTGCGAAACATAAACGGCGGCACCAGTCATTGCCTATGATAAAATATACAGATTGTGATCCTTGTCCATCCGGTCGGCGAGTATCGAGCAAATCCCGATGAAGCTCTCTTGTGATTGTAAACGACTGGATCTCATCTCAACCCTTCATTACACAAACTACATTCATTCCTTGATCTCGATCTACCTACAAAATCTTCAGCTTACAGCACCCTCTCACCATCTTTCAGTCTCTTCCTTCTGTATATCTCAGCTGTCATTTATTCTTTATTATCTGCATCTGCACCGCAGGCGATCTTGCCGCCCAGATTTATTTCTTGATAACTACTTGCGATTATCATTTGCGATTCGAGAATCTTCGAGGAATTGTATAGAGACTCGAGCGAACTATAGTTTGAGGTTTGAGGAGAGACACAATATGCCTTCAATAGCGCAAGAAGATTGGGATATCCCATCGATGGATTTTCACATGAGCACAAATGGAGCTGTCAATCTGCTGAAGAGAAGGAGGGATGTTGCGAATTTTGCGGATGCGAGGGAGGAGGACGTGCAGATGAAGATTCATAGGTATGTGTTATGGGTTATTTGTTTGTAGATCGATATTTGGGTCGTCTTTTTGGATCGCTAGAAGATCAAATGCAATAGAGAAGGAGGAGTTGTGAGCAGTGAGCAATTGGCTAAGATGGAAGCAGTCCTAGACATTCACACATCCATCCACACAATCTCTACCCTCACACCATACACCATGACTCCGAACGCAGACACCTCATTCCCCGGTCAAAAATGAGTTTGAACAAACGAGTTCGCGTCGACTATCTACCCTCAGAACCCGAGTCTAGAATCGAATCAACGAAAGAGAAAGAGAAAGAGAAAAATGGATCGGGTATGGATTTACGAGCATGTCATATATGTCATCGCAAACCGACTGTGAAGAAGGAATTAGATGCGTTTGCGAACTGTGAGGGGTGTGGAAAGAGAGCTTGTTGGGTGTGTATCAGGGAGTGTCTTGGCGGATGGGGTAATACGCAGATGGGGGAAGAAGCTGCAGGGAAAGAGGGCTGGGGTGAAAAGGGAACGAAACATAGGGGGATGGTGTGTAGTCGATGTTGTGTGGAGAGGGGGACGGAGGGAGATGTACTTTGTTTAGGATGCTTGAGGATGGAGAGGAGCTGAAATCTTGTGTTTGCGTTAGAATATGTTTATGGGATTTATTTGGCACTGAGCATTGCCAGGAGGGAAATTGGGCGCATGGTGGAAAATCAGCAACCTTGCGCACGGGGAAACTCTGGGTGCAATTTATGGAGGAGTACCTAAACTCGAGGTAGGATTCTCCGCAGCGATGGGAATGATTCGATAGAATAAGCGTTGCGATCGATACCCATTTTGATCTGGAGTCTGAAGGTTGGCAATCTTGCAATGATAATGAGTTGCATATAATATGGTTTATTTGGGTATCTTTTTGCGCTTTATCATATACATATATTATGAATATCGATATCCGTTTTTTTGGCTATTTGTTTTAGGCTCGTGAATACTGCGTGGGTTTGAATAGTCGTATAACTAGGTGTGCTTATATGACCAAGTAATTAAATCCCGGATGAGAAGGATGTGAGGTATGTTTTTACTGCAAAAATTCGTCACTGTAGTTTCTACGGAAATTGGCCTGGAAAGAGTTCAAGTAAGTGATCATATACAATTCGTCTAGATGGTATCAGATGGGACTAATCGTAGTGAAGAAATTTAGCGATATGTAGTGTAGTATCCAGAGCGGAATAGTAATTCTTGTAGTGACGATGAATATTGCATTTCTATGAACTGATTTGACATTTGAGGATTATCCTTTTGAAGACATCAAATGATATGTATCTTCATGCTATTCAATTTTCTCTGCATTGACGGAGGTGTAGACAGGTGTATGGTAGAGATGTCTATGGAGCGCCATCTTAGAAATGTTGGGAAATGCCTGAGGGGCGGTGACTGGGGAAATAGATACTTGTCATTACATTCAAGAAAGCCTTCCATGATCATTCCATGACAATCTTCATATTGTACCAGTCATCTGAAATACAGAAATGAAGCACATTTGAACATATCGAGCATTTTCCACTTCACAGCTTCCATGGCGCTCTTCTAATATTTATTTTCTCTCCATATACATACATGCATATACCGGGTATCCAAATCAAAACGCCTTATGCTATTTTCTCATACAGATTTAAGCAATCCACCGATGCGCCGTTGTCGTATGCATGCAAGAAGCTAATCCGTAGCCAGTCTACCAAGTTCAATGTGTAAGAAGAATCTTGTACTTTTGTCTCCCAACGCCTTCGTATTTGATGAAATAGCCGTTCAAACACCCTCTCCGTTGTTTCTTCCCCATAACTTCACCGTTCTATCATATCCTCCACTGACGATCCATTTACCATCTGCACCTACATCGCAACTATGCACATTCCCTGTATGTCCGCTCAAACTTTGTACCAGCGCCCAATCGTCTGCCGAAAAGATTTTGACATCCTTATCAAAACCACTGGAAACAAAGAATGTACCCGCCTTTCTTGGTTTCCCTATTCCCTTTTCATCTTTCTCAGGCAATGACTCTGCATCCATTCCTTTGAACCATCTCAAATCGGAAACCACACTACGATGTGCACCCACGGCACCGGTACTTGCGACTTTCCTCACATCCCAGCATTTGACCCAACCGTCGCCAGATCCAGATAGAACACGATGACCATCGGTAGACCAGTCGAGCGCGTAGATGGGTTTAATATGTCCATCTAAGATCATAACTGTACGGCCTGTTCGGAGATCCCAGATACGTCCAATACTATCCATTCCTGCACTTGCTAGAAGTGATCCATCGCCGTTGAAACTAAGACAGAAAACACCTCTTGAATGTCCTTCTTGAAGTAAAAGTTCCGTAGTGGTTTCCACGTCCCATAGCCTCCACGTCGTGTCCTCGGATGCGGATGCGACATATTTCCCCGATGGGTGAAATTCCACTCTGCAAACTCTCTGGTTGTGTCCCGCGAGTGTTGAAACAGGTGTATCTTGCTCCAGATTCCATAAATGAACTTTTCCCTCTGCCCCTCCTGATGCCAAGTTAACGCTTCCAGGGGAAACATTCGATCCTTCTACCGTGGCACCTGGTGCCCAGGAAATTCCACCCACTCTATCTGTATGCCCCCTTAGTGATTTTTTAATTTCTAGATCCGGTATTCCAAGTAGCTTGATTCCACCTCCCCAATTGCCAGCCGCGACCAATTCTCCATTTGGTGAAATTCTCACAATACTAACTGGTCTCTCAGCCGCCATTTGACTTCCCTGAAGCTCGAAATCCTTGAGTCTCTCCTTTACTCCTTGTCTGAACTTAATATGAGTCCTCAATGGAATATCCTTCTCGATCTTCTGAATCTCCATCCTCTTCTTCGCCCTCGGCAACGAAAACTTCGCAATCTCTATCCTCGCATCGAGTAATTCCTTCGTCCCCCTCGTATAAAATTCCTCTTCAGCTTCCTCATCCTTACCCCCCTCCCCCATCTCCACGTCACCATCTTCATCCGCTCCATCTTCCTCCGCCTTCATCTCACTCTCAATCGTCAACAACTGCCGTAATCGATCTCTCCTATCACCTGGCCCTTCACCAAATAATGTGATAGGCTCGCCCATTTCTCGAAGTCGTGCACGCACGCGTCCATCATCGGTGGGGACCGCTATAGCGGCTGCGCGACGTTTGCGATCGAATTGAGAAAGAATTGCGCTGGCACGCTCGGGAGCAATGCCGGCCGTTGCAGATGGCATATCATAGTCGCGGTCGAGAGGGACATCTGCAAGATCTATACCTGTATCCTGAGTTTAGAGAAATGGAAGTTAGCTACTGTTTGCGAAGGTGTAATTGTTCATCTGCCTGATGTTCGTTTGTGTGTACGATTATAGGTTGGAGGGGTATAACTTACTTCTTTGGCCTCCTCCACGTAAGCTTGTCTGGAAGGGTGCATGATGATAACTTCCGAGGAATTCTACAAGCTTCAAATGGTAAAGTATCTATAATTCGAATGAATGTGGTTGGCGCGAGGTAAGGTAAAAATTGTTGTCTACTTCGTACACAGAGGGAAAATAGACACTGAAGTGAAGCTTTACGGTCAAGGATTCAGTGATGTTTATTAGTGCCGATCTTCGCTAAATTTTTGATACTTGAAGGCCTAGAGCTTGGATCAAGGTCTAATTCTACCCTGTAGATTTCTGCTCTGTGCCTTTTTGATGGTAAAGCTTTGGCACCTCCATGAAGATGAAGAAAGAAAATTGTGCATTTGAGATTATTTACATACCTATTCAACTGATTCTTGTTCTTCTTGATTTGGCGAATAATAATGTCGATCAAAATTCAGGTTATCTAAATTACAAATCACAAAATATCACAAGGGAATCATTACTCGCCAAATCAAGAAGAACAAGAATCAATTGAATAGGTATGTAAATAATCTCAAATGCATGCATATACATAAAAAAGGTATCCTCCAATTTCAATAGGTATCATAGGTAAACCATTTATCAGTCCCACAAGTACTTTCGAGCCAAAACGCCTTGACGCCTCATACATGTGATTGCCAAAACTGCCAAAGGTGCAAATGAAATTGTGGTATTTCCTTGCTAAACGCCAGAGAATCTATCGATGCGAGCTAAAGTACATTGTGTATTCATGAAAAAATAGTGTGAAGTGTAGAAGAGACAAGTATCAAAGGGAAAAGGTGAAAACGTGAAAAGAAGGAAAGAAGGAAAATATTGAATTAGAAAAAGAGCAATCCCGAGATATCAACTCATCTATGACTCGGATGTCATAGGAGTGATGTCTTCCTTAGCAGCAGCTTAGCTTGAGAAGACCTTGATCGAGTTGACGATCCAGTAAGCATTGTTAAATGCAGTTGGATTGGAAGAAACATAAGCATTACAGGTGGCAGCTTTAGTGCTAGCTGCGCAACCACCGCTGGACCAAACTTGCCCAGCCCAATCTCCGCAGAACGTGGTGTCGAGGATGATATTGTGTGATTTGAAATGACTGTCAATGTTGCAACCACTGCCAGAGAATTTGGCAATCGGCGTTCCCCAAGCGGCGGGATCTGGCTTACCAGATTGAATGTTTGCTGGAATAGCTGTACGGGAGAAGAAGTAGATGGCAATGTAGGATGATGTCCATTCCCAAGCATAGACCCCTCCTCCTGCTGCGTTAAAGGCTGGACCATATGTTGCTGTGTTTTTGACTGTCTGGCCACAACCTGTGTTTCCGCCTCCTGCGTTGCAGTCTGAGCCGACAAGAGTTGTTCCAGCATCAGATCCGCTATTGCTCATGACACAACCTTGCGAAGTATGAAGAGTCACCTGATTTGTGGTTCCGGCATTGACTCCTTCAATCACGTCGATTTCCCCATTCGCAGGCCACGAGGGCCCGAAGCTCCATAGAGCAGGCCAAGTTCCACATCCCTCTGGCATATGGGCAATATCAGCAATGAAAAGGCCATGTGTGTATGCCTTTTTGGAGCTAACACGAGTTGAAGCTCTTCCGGCAGTTCCTGAGAGTGAGGTAGTGTGATCGACTCCGAGATAAACAGAATTGACACCAGCGTTTTTGGTGTATCCAGCAAGTGCAGTTTTGTTAGCAGCAGAAGCGCTCTGGTATGCGACCATACCGTTGGTTGGGTCAGCGCCAGAAAAGAAGCTAAACTCCGAGAAGAAGTTTGTGTGGTCATATGAATCGGCAAGAGTATATGCGGCATTCACGCTGCCGGCAGCGAGAAGCAATGCAGCACCAATGCGACTTAAGACTTGGGTTGAAGGCATGATTGTATTGTAAAAATTGAATGTACTTCGTGTGGTTGTTCCAAGAATCCTGAAAGGTTAAATTTGTGGAATTTGAATGAAAGTATTGAAGTTGTTTGTAGAATATCTGAATGTGGTTTCTGGAAATGCTTCTGAGTCAAATGGATATCACGAATTATAACGAAACCCCTCGAGTTTATATTGCAATTGTTCTTGCTTTGTGTTACTGTGAAGCACAAAGACAATAGCTGTTGTCGTTTATTGTGACTCGACAATAAGTGTACAAAGCAAGGTTGCTGATCAACAAAGGCTTTCGTGAATAGATGAAGATTATCAGACGATCCACACAATTGTCAAAGGTGAGATAAAGAATATAAGAACAAAGATGACAGAAATAGAAAGAGAATACACCGCGTAAGGAGTGACGGTGATATTGAATACTTGAAAATTGACAAAGCGACGCAAAAGCTCTTCGACTGAAGAAAGAGGGCAAGAGATATTATAAGAAAAGCAAGTATATGAAGGATTCTCCTCCGATGTCTCTGAAGCTCTTTGTCCCAAACAGACCAGCTCTTTCATGGCGTTTCCGTGGATAGTCAGTGCCCTGTAGGCTTCATAGCAGGGGGGTAAGCTTCGAGAACCAGGTGGTCAATGTACCAGGTCATCCTGGACATTTATAGGAGCAGAGAGGG